GGGCAGTTTTTGAAATTATTTTTTTGCCTCCCGGGGATTCCAAAAAACCCCCCCCTTTTTTTTTTTTTTTTTTTCTCGAGATAGTATATCACGCCCACACAAGTCCCAGAATTACCTGACAGGGGCAAAAAAACAAGAATTTCCCCCCCCCCCCCCCCCCCCCCCCCCTCGGCCTTGTTTGCCATCGGGGTTTGGGTTTTCGTCGCTTGGCAACGACGTTGTAAAACAAGCCGCCCCCCCCGGTGTTTGCCATCGGGGTTTGGGTTTTCGTCGCTTGGCAACGACGTTGTAAAACAAGCCCCCCACTCGGTGTTTGCCATCGGGATTGGGTTTTCGTCGCTTGGCAACGACGTTGTAAAACAAGCCAACTCACTTCGTGAACTCGGCAACCAGGTTACCGTTTTTTTTTTTTTTACCTCGGTTTTTTTTTTTGGCGGTAACCATAATGGTGGTCGAGTAGATTATGTTGTGCGGGGTCGAGAACCCTTACTCCGCGCAACGGGGGATGATCGCACCACGTTGTGTTAAAATGGTCAAGCTTCCTCGAGGCAGTTACACAGTGCTTACAACTGTCTCTGGAGGTGAAAGCACCAGAAAATAAATTAAGTCATACGTAGCTGTCCTCCGTACGCAAGGAAGTAAGCACAAGATGCCGAACACCCTTAGCAGGATGCAGCTCACCCTTCATGCGACTCGCCAAATACCTCACGGCGCTTCGCGCTTGGTGATGTGAGAGCCTGGTCCGGTGAGAACCCGGCGCGCTCCGTCCCGGCTTTGTAGGGATGCGAGGTCAATGGTCAAACGACTACGGCATGCACGACTATCGAGTACACCCCCCCCCCCCCCCCGACGCCCCGTTGTCCTCACCCCTTGGCCGACGCTACACGAAACGACGCCGTCCTTTGTGCAGTGTCGGCAAGCAGGCTACGCAAGCAGGGGAGGCGAAGCAGGAAAAGGGGGCCGCCTCCGCGGAGGCTAAGGCGGGGGAGGTCACGAGCCCCGGCAAGCGGAGGCGGGAGGCGGGGAAAGGCGGCGGGGCGGCGGCGGCGGCGGCCGCTGCGGAGGAGGAAGAGGAGGAAGAGGAGGCTCCGTGAGTGTGTTTTCCTGCTGACGTGTGCTGCGTCGTCTTGTGGGAAACTGCGTGTACCGACAGACCGAGGATCTTCTTGGCTTTTGAGTGCTGTTGCGGGCGTTGTAGTGGCAGCAGGCCGCGGGATTAACGGTAGTTTGGGAAGGGGAGGAGGAAACAACGGCGGTGCCGGGAAGGGAGGAGTCGATTTTATTCGATTGTAATGTCAAGTGGAGGATGAACAGGCACGGGTGTTGGTGCTTGTGGGCTGCTGTCAATGCTCTGGTTCGGACCGACGTTCACCATTCATGATTGGCGTCGCTTAGGGCGTAACCTTACCCTTATGAGCTGAGTCTGGTGATTTGGTTGTGATATGTTTGGGAGCTTTGCGCGGTACTCCATGAGAGGAAGAAGGTTAAGAGGTATTTGTGGGGCATGTGTTGTACTTGATATTTGATCTCCGCTCCGCCTGCGTGCGGGTATGTGTGTGTGTGTGCCAACCAATCAGCTCACCGATAAGAAGGCTGCAGTAGTCTGAACGGACCAGAGTCGCCAAAACCTCCTCAATTTCGCGGGCTTCCCTCTCGGCGTGTCCTTGGCGTTTCATGTGCTTGTGCGTGTTCCTTGAATCTTACCACACGCGAGGACAATCTGGTGGGGTGCTTCTTCCAAGGTGCACATGAGCACAACCAACTTTCTTTTTTTTCTTTTTTTTGTTTTAGTCACCTGCCCTTCCCGCTCCTTCCGCGTGGCGCGCAACATGGCGCGATTTCACTCACAAGGCTGTTGCAAGCAGCTCGTTGTAGCTTTTAAGGTCAACCGACTCTCCTCATAAGTTTGCTATGGTGGTGCTGCAACACGATGATCAACGTTGCTGGTGGGTGCTGTTGTGATGAAAAATAGGGAGACCACTTTCTTGACCAAGCAGCCGGACTGCATCAAGTTCGGCAAGATGAGGCACTACCAGCTGGAAGGCCTAAACTGGATGATTCGCCTCAACGACAACGGCATTAACGGTAGGTAAAGTAGTGTTGATCCACCAAGGGTTGAGTTCGACAGTACTCATGTCACGCCGGTGTCGCATAGAGGCTGAAGTGTCGCTGATTTTCGATCGAGTCTGATTACTTCGCTGATGTGACGCGTGTTGGCATGTGGTGGCATGGGCTACGCTACCGTCCAAAACGAACTATAAACGACGGAGAGGGGTATGTATGCGTGCGTGAGAAGAAACGGTCTCTGATGCGCAGCCGCGCGTGAGGGAGTGCGTGAGTGCGTCGTCTGTGTTTAGCGTAACACCGACGACAGCCTTGACGTGATGTGCTCCCCTCCCTCGAATCGCGCCAGGTATCCTCGCGGACGAGATGGGTCTGGGCAAGACCCTGCAGAGCATCAGCGTTCTGGCCTACATGCACGAGTACAAGGGCATCAGCGGCCCGCACATCATCCTCGTGCCCAAGAGCACGCTGTCCAACTGGCTCAACGAGCTCAAGCGCTGGTGCCCCGCGCTCCGCCCCCTCCGGTTCCACGGCACGCGGGCGAGTTTTTGACCAATCAGAGTGGCGTGCATTCAACACGACTGAACACGCTTTGGATTTTTTGCAAAGTTTAATGACACATATAACACCGCTTCTTCGTTACTTGCTTGTTTTTTGCTGTTGAACGAAGATCTGAACAAGCTACATGTAGGTATTGTTTTTCTTGTCACATGTGTTTTCATGTCGATGTGGTGGGGGGGAACCTGCTTCTTCGCTCGAGATGTGCGTGCATGTGACGGAAAGAGCGAAAGAACACGACTTATTTAGCAACCCTACCGTGGTGGTGTTTGTTGGTGATGCGTACCATTTTTCTAGGAGGAACGCGCGAGCCTTATCGAGGAGAGGCTGCGGGTGGGCCATAACGATCGCGACTGGGATGTGGTGAGTCGAGTTGCCGACATGATAGCTCCAAGACATGGGTGGTTTCTGACAACACCCGCTGTAGTATGCTGCGCTGCCCTACGACTATGGTACTTGCTTTGGGGTCCTGTTCGCGTGTCCGGGTGGGCTTCGTACCTGTCGGGAAGTTCCTGGTTTGGGGGGATTCTTTCCCCCTTTTTCCGGCGTGTGCTCTCCCCCTTAAGGGGACGTCTTGTGTGTGGGGGCGGGCGGGGGGGGGGGGGGTCGTTTTGGTTTTACTTTGTGGGCCCCAAGGGGATTTGGGGGGGGTCATCCCCGTTTTTAGTTGACAACCCCGCAAACTTGCCCCCGTTTTTATTTTTTTTTTTGGATTTTTTTCTCGCTCCTCCCTGGGTCCCTCGGGGACTCCCGCCCCCCCCCCTGACGCATGGTTGCAGGTGATCCCGACATAGGGGGGGGCCAACCTGGAAAAGCGGTCGCTGCAGAACATCGCCTGGCGCTATCTCATCATCGACGAGGCGCACAGGTGAATATTTTTTGTGTAGTTTGTTTCGTCTGCTTGCCCCCCCCCCCCCCGTCTGATGTGTCCACAAATTATTCCGAAGTGTCAAGACTGACGTCCAGAACGTATGGGGGACGACACATGCACACGGAGAGAGACCTAGATTGTGTCGTGTTCTTTTGTCGGGGGTAAGGCCTCTTCGGTATGCCTCTCAACTGAACCCCAGAAACAGGTCTGCTTCTGGGGCTACGTGATGCGCCGTTATTGCCGTCCCCCTTCCTTTGTGTTTCACGTGTTCTCTCGACGGTCTCCTCCTCTTCGCTATCCTGACCATTTTCCTTGTTTGCGTTGGCATCCCGTACCCTAGCCATTACAGTATCTCGTCGAACCTCATATATCTACACATACGACTTTGGCTTATTGAAGCAGAGCAACCTGCGATGGAAAATGGCAACAACGTGGTCTGAGTACTGTACTGTACCGTCAAAATGCGAGTGATCGCATAACGACGTTTATAGATCGATCGATTGTTCCACAGTTGAGGTAGCGTACGGCACGTCGACGGAGCCAGGCCTGCGTTAGAGCTCTCGCCAATTCGCCCTGGCACGCTATCAATACTCGCACGTGCGATCAAGTCACGGAGGAGCTGCGCGGCGTAACTCCTTCCTCCTCCTCTTCCTCCTCGTTCTCCCTGCCTTTTCGTTCCCTTGGTTCCCCGCCTCAACCTTAACCTTACCTCACTTAGGCTGAAGAACGAGGCGTCGATGTTCAGCCAGACCGTGCGCAGCTTCAACATGCAGCACCGCCTGCTTCTCACCGGAACCCCTCTGCAGGTAAAGCAGCTTCTTCTTTCTTGGGGGTTTCGTATTGAATTGTGCTCCCGGTCGTACTAATGTCCATGTGTACTGTACGGGGGCAGAGTTGTTCGTGTGGTGTGTTTCTTTGTTAGCCTTTGGTCTCCGTCGCGTTGTGACAAGCGAAGTCGATGTCTCGCTCATCGCTATTTAGTATACGCTACCTCTCGCTGGCCCTGTTTTCGTGTGTGTTCGCATTGTGCCCTCCTCGTGTTGGAAGCTCCTTGCTTGCGTCTCTTCGTGGGGTTAGTGGATTTGGGATGTCTGCCTGCTGTCGTCCTTGCTTGCAATCCTCGACCCCCCCCCCCTCTCTTCCTATTCTCTTCCCACGGTCGGAATTATTGCCTCTTTTTTTTTTTCGTGTTTCGCTTTCTTTCCTGCGTTGCTCGTTCGTCCGTCGTCTAAGTGTTTGTTCGTCTGTCTGTCTGTCTGGTTGTCTGTGTGTTTGTGCGTCATTTTGGCAGAACAACCTTCATGAGCTGTGGGCGTTGCTGAACTTCCTTCTCCCCGACGTTTTCAGCTCTTCCGAGCAGTTCGACCAGGTACTAACAAATAAACGTCAACATGAACGAACCACTTTTGGACAGTGTGAAGGACGGTTGAATTATGGACTACAGGACCCACATTCATGGTGACATCTCGAGCAGTTCGACCAGCTCACAACGATACCACCACACATGAAACATAACCACTTTTGAACAGGAGGATTTAATTATTCGTGACTAAATTTATCGTGACCCGATCCCCGTTTTATTTCATCTCACGGTTTCATGAAGCACGCCAAACAGCAGTATAATAGTAGCAGATTGCAGTATTGTACCACTATAATAGACCAACGGATACGCGGCCTTTCGGTACAATAAGATGAAGTATGCATCATTGTCGGTGTTAATACCTTTTTCACCCACGATCAGTGAATATCGGAGGATCCAGGGTAGGTTTCTTTCGCACAGACGACCAAACCATTCTTTTTTCTTTTTTTGTATCAAAGCAATTATTTATTTTGTTGTGCGATCGATTGGTGCAGTGGTTCAATCTGGAGATCGACGACAAGGAGGCGAAGGAGAATATCATCCACCAGCTGCACAAGATCCTTCGGCCCTTCATGCTCCGGAGGCTGAAGGCGGACGTCGAGAAGAGCCTGCCCCCGAAGACGGAGACCATCCTTTACGTAGGCGAGTGTGTAATGCATGTTGCATGTCTATCTCCAGCTCCCCGGCTCTCTAGTGCGTGGCTCATGTTTGTGCGTCCCGTATGCGACGCGAGGAAAAATACACCCCCGTGAAAACATATTGGATTCTGAATGGAACATTTTATATATATGTCACCGGTTGTGTTCTTGTGTGTCGTTTTATCTGAGGATAATTGTTGTTGTTGGGCTCACATTGACCTGTAAAATAGATACCACCGGGTCTAGTATGAAGTGTGGTGTGTATCCTGTGTCGCGTGCGGTGTATTGTGTCCGGGCGTTACTGTCCTTTTCCTTCGACCGTGCTAGTCGGGCTAGTCGGGCCACCGTTCGAAAAGACTCCGTCGTCAGCGCGACTAAAACCGATGACGGCATCTAGACCGCGGGTGCTCCTGAGTGTCGAAAATAGTTACATACACACCACCCTTGGCATTTCTCTTGCCACAATCCGAATGCAAACCAACGAAAAGCGTACCTGGTAGCGTACAGTACCGGTAATCACAGGAAGGTGTTTCCACCGTCAGCCACGGCTAGTACTCCTTCTGGAATACCACAGCAGAAGGCGCACTTTCCAGCGTGTCGGTGCATATCGACGCTACTGTGTTGTGGCCGGGTCTGTCAATACAACAACGACGTTCCGGGTGTTTCAGTCTCTGCCTTGACGAGCGCTCTGTGCCCCCTCTCCCCGCCGTTGCCTCCCGCCATCGACAAAACAAAAAAAAACGATACATATACATATCAAAAAACGATCCCAATCAAGCAGGGCTGTCCTCCAAGCAGAAGGAAGTCTACAGAAACGTCCTCCTGCGAGACATCGACATGGTGAACGGAACTGGGGGAGGCGGCAACGCGGGGCGCACGGTGATTCTGAACATCGTCATGCAGCTGCGAAAGTGCTGCAACCATCCCTACCTGTTCGCGGGGGTGGAGGACCGGAAGCTCGATCCCCTTGGGGACCACCTCATCATCAACTGCGGCAAGGTGAGCTTGTGTGTGTTTGTGTGGTTTCATTATTGGCATCGACCGCGCTAACCGACTGACCAATGGAAAGACGTCAAGTCTCAGTGCGGTTGAGAGCAGGAACACTCTTCCAAAGGCCGTTGATCTGGGACCCCGTGAGGGGGCGTCAACGAGCATCGACCCTCGCTAACCGACTGACCAATGAGAAGATGAGAAGATGTTATCTCGGAAAAAAGAAACTCAAAAGTAGGTGTGTTTCTTGTTGAACCAGCATTGACCAAGCTACGCCTCTTGCCAATGGAACCACGTTGGCCTTTTAAAGCAAATATAAAAGCGAAGGTTTTGTGTGAGTGTCTCCTATGTGTCTTACATTTCTTGGACTAGCATTGACGAGGTTACCCGGGCTACCAATGGCAGGATGTTATATCATCAAACGAAAAAAAAAACACGGATGAACGCTTTCAAGTCCGTAGCTTCGTCGACAAGAGGGTCCCGCAGGAGCGCTTGATCCCGTGTCTGGTTTAAAAATCCTTGTCACAACAAAAAACGATTGTAAGACAATCTCGGCTGAAACCCTGTTCTCCGTCTTTCATCATGTTGACGGCACTCTCTCTCTCTCTCTCTCTCTCCGGTTGGGGTCGTTCAGATGGTGCTGCTGGACAAGCTTCTCAAGAAGCTTTTCGACAAGGGGCACCGTGTCCTCATCTTCACACAGATGACCAAGATGCTGGACATCTTCGAGGACTTTTGCGTGATGCGGCGCTACGAGTATTGCCGGATCGACGGCAACACCTCCTATGAGAGCAGAGAGGACTGCATCGACGCCTATAACAAGGTGTGACCACCGCACCTGGTCGGCCGAGTGCCAACCCACCCGCATCGTGCGAAGTTATCCCACCGCTGCTTTTCCTCCGGCCTGTATCCCGTTGACGCACATTGCATGTGGTCTCTTTTCGATCCTGCTTGTGTTTGTCGTCTTGTTTTGTTCAAGAAAAAATTGAGTCCATTTTGGTCCAGCTTTGGTCGCGGCTAGTCTCTTGTCTTTGCGCATGGATTGGTTTTAAGCTTGGTGGTGGTAAATTGATGAGGTGGCTACCTTGGGCCGTTTTGTCTGTCATAATGCCGTTGCCGGAGAGCTCAACGTTTGGAACCTCCAATCGCCGCGTGCGTGCAGCCTATTTATATACCCTTGGCGTACTCGTTAGCGTAACGAGCTGTTATATTATCTCCCTTGCTGGCCGCCGCCTGGTCCCTTGCCAGCATCCTGTACAACACCGCCAACATCGCCGCCGTCATCGATCCCAACGTGTTCATTACCGTCGCCATCCACTTTTTTTTTTTTTTTTTCGGACGACGACGACCACCACCACCACCACCGCGACCACGTCCGACCATGACCAATAACAACACCGGTGCAGCCGGACTCGACCAAGTTCGTGTTCATGTTGTCCACGAGGGCGGGAGGACTGGGCATCAACCTACAGACCGCCGACACTGTCATCCTGTACGACTCAGACTGGAACCCGCAGGCAAGGCATTCATTCGGCCGTCATCACAAGTATAACTGTCTCGTTGACACATGGCGGGTGGGGCGGGGGTATGGAGGAACGGGGGCTGGGCCGGTGCTGTGGGGATCGCTCTGATGTTATGATGTTATGAAGAAGCGACTGGAAGAAGTGCTTGTCGCAGCCTTTCCGATTGCTACCTATTATATTGTAGTTCAGGTTAGTCTAGAGGTGCTTGCAACGACAAGTTGATGCCGGACCTCGAAGTTTTCCGCTATGTACCAGGGGTCCCCCCTCCCCCCCCCCGTGCGGTGACACTGAAGACCTGGTTCACGGAAACCTGACCATTCTTCGGTGAATGTGTTTGTAGGGACTATCGAGGGTCTATGGTCTTGACGACTGCGGTCATGCTTGAAATCGAATCGTACATCCCGTGCGCCGATCCCGTCTCGTCTCTCATCCCGTGCGCCCTTGCCGGCTCTATCTAACCCCCAACCTCTGTTCCAGGCGGACTTGCAAGCGATGGACCGGGCGCACCGCATCGGGCAGAAACGGCCGGTCAGCGTGTACCGCCTCGTCACAGAGAACACGGTCGAGGAAAAGGTGAAAAACAAGAACTGCTGTACGAGTTGCAATGTTCAGGGTGATACGTCGTGCGATGAAGGAAGTGTAGTGGTTCTTTGGTTATCGGGAAGTGTGGCTCTGGATGCTTGATGCTGATCGAGTGGGAAGGGAAACGCGCTAGCCGCTGCCCTCGTTCTCCATCGGAAAAGCTATCGACATAACGGTGCTTTTAACAAAACTATCGTCAGGACACAGGAGCCTTCGTGCATTGGTATTCTTGTTCGCTCTTGTTTGTATTCCCGCTGTACATGTAGTATGGTGTCCTCTCTGTCCGCTGTGCCCGCTGGGTCCGTGTTGTCCTCTTGTCGCTATTCACCTTGCTTCGGAAGATCATCAAATCATGACGGCCGTGGCTTCGATGGTGCATCATCACCACATGAGCGCCGTCCTGTACCATTCATCCTGGCCCCTTTTTGCCGATCGCCTATGTTTGACGGCGAGATGTGCATGTACTGCACACCAACCAACACCCCCCTCCAGGGCGTGTCTTAGTATTCCTTTGCCTTCTGCGTCTGTCTGTCTGTCTGTCTGTCTGTCTTTCTCTTCCTTGTCCGTCTACCGGGCAGGTGGTAGAGCGTGCCCAGCAGAAGCTTAAGCTGGACGCGATGATCGTGCAGCAGGGGAGGCTCACGGACAACGCGAAGAAGGTGCGTATGAGTAGAGACACAGTAAGGGGTATTGGGGGTGGTCGACGCCCTTTTTTCGGTGTACGCACCTCCAGCAAGACAAGCAGAGAGTGAGAAGGAGATGAGAATAAAGACGGGGGGGAACGGATAGACAGACGCACGGACAGACAGACAGACAGGCAGACAGAGAAAAGCACACGGAAACACAGAGACAACGATAGCGGGGGTGTTTTTTGGTCTCCTCTCCCGCTTGCACACTTGTTGTTGACAGGACCCGTGCCCGCTTTTCTCTGTACGACAGCCTCGTATCCCTGTCAACTGCCTCACCCGCCTCCTAATGTATTGGCCCTTATGTCTTGTTTTTGTTCTTTTCAGCTCGGCAAGGAGCAGCTGTTGGACGCTCTGAGGTTCGGTGCCGATAAGGTGTTTCGCAGTAAGGACACATCCATCACCGACGCCGACATCGACGCCATTATGGCCCACGGAAAGGCAAGCATGCATCCCATGTCAAGCCATGCCGTATGATCGTACCGTATCACACCATGCGTCCATGTTAACCGTTGAATAGTTTCAGCCCATACGATACCACTCCGTGCAAACAACCCATGATGATATATATGGCACCATGCGTTTGGTTGGAGGTGTAAGCGTAGCGAGCTCGGAGAATCACGCGATGACATCGAGCAAACGATACGGCGGACACCGTTTCCTCTTGTCAACTCGCCGTACCCTACGGTATTCCGTGTGCTGCCGGTATGGCTTGACAGGAGAAGACAAAGGCCTTGATGGAGTCCAAGCTGCAGGTGTCGGACAAGGGAGATCTGCTAGACTTCAGTCTCGACGGCGGCATCGCCACGCAAGGTATTTACCGTACCACATTGCTTCGTTCCATCACTCGTAGATTGGTGTTCATACGTATGCCACTCACGTGACAATATTTATAGTGTTGGTGGTAAGGCATGGCTGCCAACTATTGGTAAAATGCTTCCATGTGATCACCACCACCTCCATCGATGGCTCTTTACTTGTGGTAGCGTCCCTACCACCTTCTCCATGTTTTTTTACCCGCGTGGACGACAATCTCGCACACGCTGGGATCACGCAAACGTACGGCACGGTGTAGCGCTTACTACTGTCGCACAAAACTCAAAGCCAAAGCCCAGGAGCCTTGACAAACTTGGCCAGCCTCACGAACCTCGAGGATCACGGGATCGGATCCAACAACGCCCGACCACCCCTAAAACGCCTCGCGGCGGCACGCGAAAAAACTCGCCCCGACGTACGTACGTATTCCCATACCCTAACCCGCGCGTGCGCCCCCTCTCTGTCCCAGTGTACGAGGGGGTGGACTACAGCAACAAGGCCAACCGTGCGGACGCGGGCGGGGGGGCGGTGCCGTTCCAGTTCATCGACACCGGCAAGAGGGAGAGGAAGAAGATCGCGTCTTACAAAGAGGACACCTTCTATCGCCAGCAGCAGGCGGCGGCCATCAAGAGGAGGACCATGGTGAGCTACAGCTGCGATTGTTCTTCTAGCTAATGTAGGAGAGGTTTTGTTTGGCCATCGCGCGGCAATGCTGAATTTAGTGGATGTGAGGGGTGTTGCGGAGGGACCGTCGAAAGAAGGTTGCCTCGGATGATGTGCGGTGAAATCGGGTGGACAGAGGGGGGACGTGAGAGAAGGATTTGACTCAACGATTCGTGACTTGTTCTGTTGTGTCATTCCGTTGAAAATGCGTCGGCCGTCTCGGGTGCCACATGCAGCCGAATCGACAACCCGAATACGTGCATGTTTGAGCTCATGTCGTGCATGCTCGCACGCGTTGTTTGCTTGTTCCTCGCGCCATTTTTTTTTATCCCAGATGCCGAAGCACCTGAGGCTGCCGCGGATGGACGAGTGTCAGTTCTATGACAAGAAGCGCCTGGAGCAGCTGCACCGCAAAGAGGAACAGCTGTTCGTGGAGGCTAAGGAGAAAGGCGACCTTCCCAACGACCTCACCAACTACGAGGTGTGTATGCTAAACCACTATATACACACCTGCTCTGTTGTTGTTGCTGCTGCTGCTGCTGCTGCTGCTGCTGTGAGTAAGAATGTGCCGCACGCCCTAGCAGTTTGGAACTGGCACCGCCGTTTGCGAGGGAAGTCGCCACCGTTGTCTTCGTCTTCGTCTTATAATAGATGCTGTATCCTCTTATGCCCTAACCCAGCCGTAACCCCGACTGACGTACAGCAGACTTCCGACCAACATACAGCGGACTCACTGTCTACAAGTGTGTGTATTTCATATTTTTCGTTATTGTGGTTTGGCGTGGTTGGCCGATGCGGCTTGGTGGTTATTTTATATTTCGCTGTTTTTTCATGGCTCCCAGACCGGCCGCCGAGAGCCGGAAAACACTCCCGTTCACCTGCGTTGGACTTTTCTTGTGCGCGCTGTCGGTGTACCGGACTGCTGGAGAGCGAATTTGCTCCCGATCAGCGTCCAACATGCCATGAAGATCTGCTGCTTGCATTGAAGATACCAATCCAAACAAAGCAGCCGGAATTTGATTCTAGATCCCTTTTCTACGCATGCTCTTGGAGCAATACTGACGTGACACACCTGCGTAGACATCTTCATCCACGAGACTTGTATGTAAGTCCGTTCGTTTCCTACGTTTACCATTGTTCGCATGACAGACCTGGCACACTTGCTTATACATATACTTCGTACAAGGCGCGCCTCCAGAGTGGGCTCATTAGAGCATAGTACCGTAGGTTACGTAAGATACCACGCCCCCTGGATCGATTTTCAAAGCTCGATTTTTCCACGACCAAGAGGATGCCGAAGGCAAACGATACTTGTACGCGTTCGGAAAGCTCTCGACGGGATGATTCCAACTCCGCCGTTTTCGGCACCGTCACTGCTTTCCCAGCCGAGTACCGTAAGCTACGAAGTTCCCCCCCCGGGTTAGAGTCCCCCCCTCCCCCACATTACCTTTTCGGCCTGGAAGCATGAGTTCGTTGATTTAGCCCGGGGTAGATCGCTTTCGACAAAAAAAAAAGTTCCCCCCGGGTATGTCAATTTCCCCCCGGGCGTACCATTTTCCCCACGAGTTCCCCCCGGGGGGGATGTGTTTCCCTTATTTTCTGAGTCGATTTTGTTGCATCGCGGAGCACAAAAAGCATGATATGGGACGGAAAGTTAATTTGCAGATCTGCGCTTCGAGCTGGCGGGTACCGCCCTTCCTCTTCTTGGAATCACTCGCGGGACGAGACAAACTCCCCCAGCTGCTGTCCTCCTTGCTGTCTTTTTTCTCTTCGTCTTTGTTGCTCTTACGTTCCTCCTCCCTCTGCTTGTTGAACACTTACTCGTAAACCTTATCCATCTCAGTTTCACCACTCTCTGTGTGTGTGGTGTGTGGACCATCATTATTTTGCACAACCCCCCGGGGGGGGGCTTTCCCCCAGGGTAGCGTTGAAAAAAAAAAAAAAACGTGGTACGTCAATTTCCCCCCGGGGGGTTTGGTTTCAGAAAAAAAAACGATCCCCTCCCCGGGGGGGAAACTCCGTAGCTTACGGTAATCAAGCTATTAAAATCGGTCCAGGGGGTGTGATGTCTTATGCAGCGTACGGTAGCTGTTGGTGTCATCAAGACGTGATGCAAGATGAAAGTGAAGCATGCGTTGGTGTGAATTAGCTGCCAGCTGCACCATCCGTGATGTGTCCCAAACTCGAACAGCTCACAGAATGGACGCGCTTCTGACTCGAAGAGCCCAGCGAGAACCTCAACGAACAAAAAAGAAGAATTTACAAATCTGGTATGATGTACATACGTCACTGAATGTTGTTGTTTTGGTGGGGATAGGTTTTGCCGGAGCCCCTGCTCTCGGAGAAGGTCCGGCTGCTGTCGGAAGGGTTCGCGGACTGGTCGAAGGCTCAGTACATGATCTTCGTCAGGGCCAGCGCCAAGCACGGGAGGGGGGCGTACGACCGCATCGCCGCTGAGGTCGGCAAGGCTGAGAAGGACGTGAGTGTGTGTGAAGGCGGGAGCGAGGGAGGGAGAGACAGAGATAGACAGAAAGAGAGAGTAGGCAGGCAGGCAGGCAGGCAGGCAGGCAGGCAGGCAGGCAGGCAGGCAGGCAGGCAGGCAGGCAGGCAGGCAGGCAGGCAGGCAGGCAGGCAGGCAGGCAGGCAGGCAGGCAGGCAGGCAGGCAGGCAAGCAGCCACGCAGCCAGGCAGAGAGGCAGGCAGGCAGGCAGGCAGGCAGGCAGGCAGGCAGGCAAGCAGCCACGCAGCCAGGCAGAGAGAGAGATTATTGCGAATGTGTTTGACGACGTTTTTTTTATGGTAATGGCAGATCCTCAATCGAGAGGGTAGAACTCGCACGGTAGATGGTGTGGATGCTGCCAGCGAAGGGTATGGCAGGGACAAAGAAGGTCTATTTCGAGTTGCGCAAATCATAATGCACTGCACTATGAAAAAAAAAACAATAAAACGACTTTCAAGGAAGGAGTCGAACCTTGGCACGGCAGGTAGTGGTAGTGATGGTCTCGTGTCTGATGCCGGACGCGATGAACACCGCGGTGTCATCATATGCATACGTTGCGCGTGTTGAGCGTTTGTTCAATGATGCACCACACCCTATGGTGCGCCGTCTGCTGTCTTTTCTTGAATGTCGATTTCAGGATGGGCCTGAATCATCACGTGTCTTGTTCTGGCAACGTGTCATACCTCGACTTCATGTTATACGTGGAATGTCTTGCCATGATATCGATCATGACGTTGTTGGGAGCAGTGTCTTATTTACCCTGCGTTTGGTGCTCGTGTGCGCAGGTGGAGCGGTACGCGAAGGCGTTCTGGGAGAAGGGGTCGACGGCATTCGCCCCCGCCGACTGGGAGAGGCACGTCAAGAACGTCGAGAAGGGAGAGCGCAAGATCGAAGAGATCAACAGGTGCAAAAAAAAAGAATCGTGTGTATTGGTGGTACACGCAGCAGCACGAGTCTGCATTTTTTTTGTTTCTCCCTCTGAATACAGCACAACAAATCCATCTCTATCCACACAAAAGATAGATAGATAGATTGGCAATGGACCCATCGCATTAGCGGAGCTATTTTTCGTGTTATGTGCAGATTTGGGAATGATGCTAAATGCGTATATAATGGGAAGAGTGTGGCGGGTTTGTTCTTGTCGTTACGCACTCGAGAACTTGCGCATTTTTTTTGTCTACCAAGTGTTATCCGAATGCACGAAACGCTGCTATAGGCGGCGGTAGAGGTGGGGAGTTGGTGGACGACGTGAGATGCCCACTCGTGAGTACGCGTACGCGGGAACGTGATGAGCCACGTGAGGCCCACCCACCTGTGCGGTACACTGCAAAAACCAGCCGTGCAGGCTGATTGATCGAAGCACCGAAAACCTTTGGCTGTCCTTTGATGGTGTCCTCTACTGATAACAGCAGTAGAATGTAGAACCTGAACGGCCGGAAGGTTGCTTTCCTTTTTTAATATTAGGTTCAAGTATTACACAGGGCCGGCGTCAAAATAGCTTGTTCTTCAATCCGTTAAACCTTACGCACCTGTTCTTAATGTCCCGCGTCTCCCTCCCAGACTGATGGGGGCTACGAGGAGCTTCATCTCGAAATTCGCGAACCCGTGGGAGCAGCTCACCTTCCAGTACACCGGCACCCAGGGGAAAGTGTTCAACGCCCACGAAGACAGGTGTGACTTGTGGTTTGGTGTGAGCACTACTTCCTTTTCAGGGGTGTATCCTAAATCGTGTGTACACAAGTTGGTTAGTTGGTAGGTGTGTTGGTGTCTGGATGAAAGAAGCTTCGGGCCGAGTACGAGGAATGTTTGTTCGTGCTGCTCACGTTGTAACCGTGGATATCGTCACGTTGTAACCGTGGATATCGTGCTGCTCACGTTGTAACCGTGGATATGCTCACGTTGTAACCGTGGATATGCTCACGTTGTAACCGTGGATATGCTCACGTTGTAACCGTGGATATGCTCACGTTGTAACCGTGGATATGCTCACGTTGTAACCGTGGATATGATCACGTTGTAACCGTGGATATGCTCACGTTGTAACCACGTGGTTATTTTTTTTCTGGTGGTTTCGATGTCAACGACACCTTATTATGAAGACTACCGGCAAAGGTACGTACAACATTTCACACTTGTTGCAAGGCCTTTTGGCGGCTTACGCCGCCACGCTGAGAGAAGCGAACGCAAGAAGACGCATGTTATTTGGCGTTTGATGAACGGTGGTTGCGTTTGTGGCATGAAGTAAGTGGCTGTGAGATTCCCGTGAAGGCAATTTCCCATGAATGTTCGGACGTTTGTTTTTGATGCGTGCACTGACGGCAAACTAAACGTGTTGGCACGACACGGGAAGTCAGTCACACGCATGAGCGAACGACCCACTTGTAGATTAAAGTAAAAGGCGAGCGGTAGAATACGACACGGCGTACACACACATGACACGTATTGCCACTGACACAGACGACACGGCACACGTGTACACGACACCTATACGGCGAAGACACGCACGAGCTATATACGACACATCAAGGTCAAACGTTAACGGCACGACACCAACGCACCAACGGCAAAGTGAGACACGATCGGCACGGCACAGCAGGGCACGGCACGGCTAAGCCACAGAGAAGCGACACACGAACGGCAGACAGACTATTCCCCTGGACTGCAGACCATTCCCCTGCTGGCTATACAGCAGGCACTCCCTACTCCTGCTATAGTTAAGCCGTTCGACATTATTATAGCACCTCCGATATCCCTGGTGCGGCTTTGAACGCCTCTCCTGTTGAACGCCTCTTCTCCTGCTTCGAAGCGCAAGTCTGGTGCGGACTTTCTGCGTGGTGAGGTCATAGGCCACTGTGTTCGCCCTGAGTGCGACTCCGCTCAAGCCTCTCACTCGTATCCCGTAAGAGTCGGAGACATGGCACCCCCGTGTTAGCGTTTTTTTGTAGCGTATTTCTCCACAACTATTACGGGAGGGTGCGAACACCAACCGATACCTCTCAGGAAAGCCCTCCACGAGATATTTCCAAAACTACCCTTTTCGGCAGTGGTACCCCCCTGGTTGTGGAGAAATACGCTGTACAAAAACGCTAACACGGGGGTGCCATCTCTCCGACTCTTACGGGATACGAGTGAGAGGCTTGAGCGGAGTCGCACTCAGGGCGAACACAGTGGCCTATGACCTCACCACGCAGAAAGTCCGCACCAGACTTGCGCTTCGAAGCAGGAGAAGAGGCGTTGAATATGTTGCGGGAGGACATGAACGAATGTTGCAGCGGTGCTGGTAGGTAGTGGATGAATCGGAGAAACGCAGGCGAATCGGAAAAACGGACAAATCCCGTAAATTAATGGAGGGGAGACTTTGTGTGAGAACTAGACAGACAGGCAGAGAGCGAAGCGACAGAGTGGCAAACCTCGTGTGGTCGGAATAGTCGCAAAGGAGTGGAAAACTGGTGCGTGTGCAGGAGAGATTTTACGTGAGCTCCAGACAGACAGACAGAGAGCGAAGCGTCAGAGCGACAGACCTTGTGTGATGTGAAAGAAAGCCGAAAAGGAGCGGAAAGCATCCAGTCGATCTGAAAGATTCCCGTGAGACAGACAGACAGACAGAGAGACAGACAGACGTGGTGTGTACTGCGGAACGGAATAGGAACGCGGGGAAGAACCCACTCTAAATCTAGGTGAAAATGATAGGAGAAATGGCGCCCTTGTGAGCACTCGACATTTGGGCATGGTGGCCTGTGAGCGCCCGAAAAGTAGGAATTTTGGCCTGTGAGCGGCCCGCTGGAAATATGGCGCTTGAAGAATGGAGAGAAATGGGCCTAAACATAAAATGTACTATGCTATTGCCGTGAAGAGAGACCAACGGGGAACTGTATGGTATTTATGGTAGCGCTTGCGTCGATCCCCTTTCTGCTCAGCTATGTATCATACGATAGTGCTTGCGCCGCTGGTTTGCGACAATTTCCTTTCCTTTTTTGTCGGCGTGTGTTTTCCTCGGAGGTGTGCCTGTCGTCGTGATTTCTGTCGTTGCAGTAGTGTCTAATGTTGTGGTCGTGCCGTTTCGTCGCAAGGGATACTCTTGCTGCTGCTGCTTCTGCTGCTCCACACGCGATGTGGACGTCGTCGCTTGCTCTGTGCTATTTGTTGGCGCTGCTTTGTGCCCTCTCCTGCTCGCCTCGGCGGGTTTGGTTGCTCGAGATTTGATCTTGGTCGTTTTTTCGCCCTTGGACTCTTTTCTTTTACCAGCGACCCCATGCTGTGCGACGTGTTGCCCGCAAAACTTTTACCTCGGCAGCCTCCTTGTCTTTTCGGTGTTGCCTGTTTTCCGTGGCTTATTCGTTTCTCTTCTTCTTCCCTCCGTGTGTCGTTGTGGTTGTTTTTTTCCTTTCTTGTCTCGTGTAAGGTACCTGTTGTGCCTGGCCCACAAGTACGGGTACGGCAACTGGGACCTTGTCAAGGCGGCCATCAGACGGAGCGACAGGTACGGTGGTGGTGGCTCGATTCGTGTCGTGTCGTGTCGTGTCGTGTCGTGTCGTGTCGTGTCGTGTCGTGTTTTTTTTTTTTTTTTGTCTTCACTTCAAACCAGCGCTCACAGCACTAGTGCCGTTTACTCCTACTCGTGGTCACACAAAAGAGCCCCTCTCTACTCTACCCTCCTGCGGTACTTTGCCTTCGATTTTGACGCCGTTGTTTTTTTTGCCGTCAATGCCGAGGGGGCGGTATTTCGGTTCTTGTGCTTACTGTTGTTGTGGTTGTTTTCGATGTTGCTGTTGGTGTTGGTGTTGCTTCTGCTGCTGGTGATTCACCGGTTAGCTGTGACTGTACATGCAACACTGGCTCGTGCGCCAGCAAAATCGTCTCATGAGTCTCTCTTTCCGTTTCCATGCCGTTTCGATGCATGTTGATGTTGCCCAGATCTCGTTTCGAATTATTTAAGATGCGCTTGCCTTCCCTTTTTATTTGAGTTTCTTTTTTTTTCTGTTTTGGCCAGATCCGAGCTCGCCGTTGCTCGGCTAACTCGCCCCCCGGATTGTATTCATTTCTTTTTTTTTGTGGCAGGTTCCGTTTTGACTATTTCCTGAGGAGCTGCTCGGCAGACGCGCTGGGCAAGCGTTGCGAGGCCCTCATGAAGGCTGCGGAGAAGGAGGATGCCGAATGGCACAAGAGGTATGACAGGACAGGACATGACGTGACATGACATAACAGCATAGGGTAGCATAGGACAGGAGAAGAGAGACAGGGAGGGGGATAATGGGAGCTATGTACGACGAGAAGATGAGAGAGAGACACAGGCAGACAGAGGCAGAGAGAAGGCGGTGGGGAACAGGCAGGTGCTTCGTGAACCACCTCTTTGCTCTGCTCTGCTCTGCTCTCTGGATTCTGCTCGGCTGCTCCTGTTGAAAGTTAAAGACGCGCGAGAGAAATTTGGTAGATGGAATACGATGTTGCGTTTTTGTATTTGTATTTGTATTTGTATTTGTTAGTTAGATCTTTCTTTGTATTCAGTTTTGGGGACGCCAAATGTCACGAAAACAAAAACATGATGACAAAGAAAAAAACGCGACGCACGAGCAGGCAGGGGACGGAGCGGGGGGCCGGTCCCGGCGGGTCTGAGCGTCTGGGGGAGGAGGAGAGGCGAAGGGTCGCGGAGAGGGAAAGGCACAACAGCTACAAGGACTTCCAGGGCAAGGTCGAAAAGGAGACGGGAAAGGTGTGCGTCAAGAGTACATGCATGCAACACGCACTGAGAGAGAGCTGGGGCGTCTATCGAGTGCTGTTTGCCTATGATTGTTCTTGGGATATTGATGTATTTTTTTCTCCTTTTAATTTATTCTTGTTCTCCTTTTGCTATCGTTTGACTTAATCCCCCCCCCCCCCCACTGTGCCTGCACACCTCCGTGCTACATAAAACCTGGGCTGACAATGTCTGCGATATCGCCCCGTGTGCTGCGCGTTGTCCTGACTTCGCCACACAGCTGACAGAGCTGCACTTGGACAAGTCTCGGCTACGTGAATCCCTCCTTGCCGATGGGGGCGCCAGCGCCGGCTCCGGCCCCGCGGGGGGCGCGGACTCGGCTACCGGCGGCGGTGGCAAGGAAAAGACCGGGGCGGGCGTTAGCTCGGCGGTGGACAACGTCGACCGGCAGCTGGCCTACCTCGTTGCCCAAAACCAGGTGCAGCGTCTTGAGGCAGGAAGTATATGCGGTGCAACCGGCGCGCTACGTAGAGCCGCGCTATTTGTTTTGCGGCTCGGATGACTTGCTGTGCTGCTTTAAGGCTGGGCGTGTGTTCTTTGCTTGTTGTGTGTGTGTCCGCGATGTTCGGTGGAGGGCCATCACCATCACCTGTTGAGAGGACTGCTTGAGGAGTTGGCGTTGACTGGTTGGTTTCTGTTTCACAGTAAACAACCGTCCCCCCGGCGAGGTGTTTCTACCCCCCCCCCCCCCCCCCCCCCCCC